TAGGAAATGTTACACAACATCACTGAGAGTCAAGGAACTAACCACTAACAGATTGCTAGTGGCACACAGGCTATTATTACCATACCAACCACTGTTATCACAGCTGCCCCGCAAGACCACCTGAATGTTTTACTAAGTGCAGGAGGAAAGGAGACATGTACAATTCAAATTGGATAAATGCTACTTAAATTATAATTAATTTAGTGCAACTTGCTCTATTATGTATTGATTGTTTGAATGGTTAAATTGCTCGATCCCCTGTTGGAAGCCCTTTGGGTTTCACTCTCCAGGTTTTTTTTAAGGTTTTTAAATCTACCAAGAATTTATTTATTGGGTTGGCACTGAATAGAAATGATTTTTAGACTTTTTATAGAAAAGAATACAACTTCAAATTGTCACAAAATAACCATGCAATTTACAGTATTTTATAGTTCAAAGATTATTTCAACACAAATGCTAAAAACAGTCAGATCCTAACATCAGTCAAATGCCAGAAAAATGTTCATGTTGGTTTAAATAATTTTATCATCGCTGTGTTGTAACACTTATTTAGTAACACTCTTTAGTGAGTGTGATGGACTGAGAACTAATGAGCAAGGAGAGGTAAAGTAACCTCCTTAAAAAAGACAGCTACTGTCCCACTTGCACCACCGGGGGCACTGTCAATCTGAGCGAGGCTGACAGAGGATAGGTGATCATTGTCACTGAGGTGAAGAGAGACAGTGAGAAAGAGAGAGAGGGAACTAGACTGTGTCCTTCTCTGTCTTTGTGAGATGTCACAGGTGGAAATATCATTTCCCATGCAGCTATGACACAGTCTGTCAACCAGCGGAGATGGAACAGGACTCCAGACGAACACACGCGCACACACACACCCACACAAACGCCCTTTAGCCCTTTAACCATCTCAAATAAACCCAGAACCAGCAAAAAAAATTCCTCAATCCCATTCTGTAAAACTGAATCTGGTCTTCACAAAGATTGAAGTACAAGCACACACACGTTCACACACACACACACACACATTGTTCATGCTGCACAGACAGACTCGGTCTCACGAGTGTTTAGATACATATTGGCTGGTAAACAATTTCCCAAATTAACATATAAAGTGGAAAAGGTCCGCATAGACACGAACAAACAAACTTGCGAACTAACACTGCAGGCAGATTGCCTACTTCAGTTGACTCCCTAATAGTCTCTATCATCAGTAAAGTAACTAAGAATCACAAGTGCTCTATTAAACATGTGTTTCTCCCATCAAGCTATCAACATAAGTACATATGAACAGCCCTGTAGTGCACGCACACACACACACACGTCATTTGACTAATCTCAAATGTCCAATAAGTTTGCAGTGACTTTAACACATGTAGTACACACACACACACACACACACACGGATAGTGCAGGCATTCCTTAAATGCTAATCGTCTGCTTTATGAATATTTACAATGTCTCAGTGGTGCTTCCTTGCTACAAGCGTGTCATACATGCGCTCGTTTCTGTGCTCACCTTGAGCGTGTTTATCTGCACCTTCTCAGGTTGTGTACTACGTGTGTGTGTCTGCCCTACACTGCGTTGCAGTGACAGGGTGCAGGTGATTCCCAGCATGAATGATGCCATAGTAACCTCCACACACACTCTTGCCACACAAAGCCAAGTATCTCACTGCCTGGGCGCTCACAGCCACTTTCCAGGAGAAGACGTCAGCAAAACTCAAGAGCATCCGTACACCAGGCAGGGAATGAATGAGGGGTCAACCCAGGAGTCAGCTGATGGACTCAGAGGTCTTAATTGTATCTGGTTCTGTCCCTCTCTCTCTCTCTCTCTCTCTCTCTGCAACTTCATCACAGTTAAAAGGGAAATAGAGCAAAGGTGCAGCTGCTCGTCTGTGTTGCACTGATGGAACAATTTTATTTTACAGTCTTCTACGGCTGCAATTAAGCAAGTGAAATAAAAATCTGACAGGAGTTTCATGTTGACGAACATTTTGAAAGGGGTTAAAGAAAACTCTCCATTTGCCTCTTTTCCATATGAAACATATGAAATAGCCCAACTGCTTTGTGTGCGCTGGTGCACCTGCAAGCAATACAGACCTCTGCACCAACTTCTCATGCAGGGCTTTATGCAATGATTGAAGGCACCCTCAAGCTCCTTGGCCCAGCTATGCATTCATGCGGTCAGCTGAATTGCCCCTGTCCAAACCTCAGAAGGACCATTTCAGAAGCACCTTACCGAACACTACTCTGCACCCGCGCTAGTCGATCAAGCTGAACTACACTTTTCTAAGAAGTAGGATACTGTGAGACTTACCTCTTTGGGGTCACTTTTAAATGAGGTTAAGAACAATTGAGAGCTGGTAAAAAGGAGAAAAAGAATTGGAAAAACACACAAGTCACCAGGGTAAAATGTGAGCGCAGACGGCTTTTAGCACACACCACTTAGCAACAAGGGCGATGTGCAGTTTGACACATTTTGCTTCCTGCGAGGGAGACAGGAACAAGTTGATGTAAAATGCAAGTTAAAGCTGTGGTTTTGCCTGTGAGCAATCCTCAGGCTAGTTAATTTTAGATGATGGGAGTAATGTGAACGTGGAGGAACGCATCTGCTCGGAATGGTGAAAATTGCTTTTAAACAGTGTTTAAAGAAGCAGAGATGAGAGAATGTATTATCCAAATGGATTGGGCCCACTATTCAAAATAACCCAGAGGCTTGGACAAAGATGGATGGTCTGAGGAAGAAATTGTGCCACTCTGTAGATTATCTAACTTGTCTGGGAGGCAGTCACATGGTCAAGATACTTATTTCCATCCGTCCGATACATTTTTCATTGAGTATGAGACCAAAGTGAACAATTCAGTGGTCATCTTAGAGCCACGGCTCTTTAACATGGCTTTTCTTTCTGCTTGTTTGAATTTAAGAAGCGTGCGGATCAGAGCAGAGACTTTCAAAGCAGTGTCTCATTAAAACAAGCATTTCTATTGAAAAATTAATTGCCAGTCGAGAGTGAATATACAGCGTCTGTAACTGAGGGCTGTATTTCTATTAATGGACTGTACAAGCTGTGAATCTGTGTTCCAGCTTTGAGTAGATTAGAAGATTAATACCAGCCTTTCAATGCTTTAGTAGAGTAAGTAGCACTATCACAAAGTAAAACATGTGTCCACATTTTTGTTTAATAGCTTTAAATAGTAAGAAAGGTAGAATTGGCTTATATCTAAAGGGACAAGTTAAACAGGGTATATGAAGTAGTGGTGTATGGGGTCACTGCCACCTCTCCAAATAGTCATGGTTACTCATGCATATTATAGTCATGGCTACATGCTTATTCATGCTAACTCGACCTCAGTTTAGACCACCCCAGGTTACCTTGGATCCCAACCCTTTGTGTTTAGATGTTTCTCTGTGTGAACCAAAGTAAAACAGAGGCAATGTGAAATGCTGCTTAACGTAAACCAGCAAATCTGATGTCCTACCAGGTGAATTTGCACCTCCGCCGGGCCGTCCCTCTAAATGTCACTCTTACTGCCCCCAGACTTCTCACCACCGCTGCTCAGACAAGCTGGTTTCTGATTCATCCAAACCATAATTGCTCTCACACCTTCGCCAACTAACCTGCGTGACAGGGTTGCGCATGATCCCACCTGCTGGCCTCTCACTTTTTCTATGTTCTACGTGCGTTCGGTTTCCCCAGAAACATAATCTCGGCGAGGGGCGAAGGAAATCTAAATTCAGGCTGAAAATACGTCCTTTCTCGTCCGCACTGTCTCAGTCACGCTCCGACAGATGACATTTGCGGAAACAGAAAAAAAAAAAGAAGAGAGGGCAGGCTGGTTTTTGTGGGCTTGGAATGATGAGAGGAGAAAAGTGAGGGATGATGAATAAATGAATAATACATCTGTGCTGTCATTCCCCTCTTCCTGCTCCACCTCCCTCTCATCCTGTGTCAGCTGGAGTTGGTCCTTTGAGGCAGTCTGATCCTAGTTGGGATTGTCAGGTGTGGTCGACAGCAAAATGACACGTTGACGCCAGCTCTTTGGTGACACATGAAGCAGCTCTCTGGTTAAATGGGGTTGACAACCCAAATAAGAATTGTCTGTATGCAAACAAGGGCCAGCAGATCCAGAGCATCTACTCTAAAAAGGATACACAGACGAAAAAACAGAGCCCCTCCCTTCTACTCCACATTTAAATGCATATTCGCATCGTCAAGCTGTGAGTACAAAATAAACAATATCAGGAAAGACTGTGCGTTACTTGATGAAGCTTCTGTTGTAAGAAGCAGGAATTCAGGATCTCTAGTGGTAACAACACAATGATCCTTTAATGATCATAATGTATGATCGTCAACAGAACAAAAGAAACAGCGACAGTGTCCTCTCATGCGTTTAACATTTATTAGACTCTGTGCCGCACCGCCTCTCCTCCCCTCTGTCTACCCTCGAATGGCAAGATGTTCTCACCTTAATTGTAAATGCACTCCTCTGCATTCAGATACCCATGTCCCCCCCCCCCTTCTCTCTGAATCTCCTTTACCCACTCCCCTCCGATTTTCAATTAAGATCCAGACAGAGATAGAGGATCTCATAGGGAGTGTGCTTTGGTGGGCCGGGCCCTGCCATCGCATCAGACGTATTGGAGGAGGGGGGTTATTGAGTGGCCATGACCCCGGAGCTGCCTCACCTCACTGGAATATCACACATCTCAGCCAGGCCTCCTCTGCCCAGCAAGAGATGGAGGTGTCCTTGATTTAATAGAAAAGAAAAGAACACTGAGTGTGTCTGTGTGTTTGGATATTAATAGATCATTTTTGAATCCCTAGTCTTATAAGTAAGATGCCCCCAAATTTATTATAAAATATTTTTTATTTTGATAATCAGTGGATTAAAAGGTATGTTTCCTGTTTGACTGTGCATCGACTGTGACTCTTGGAAACGTGATGATCATTGTTTGTGTCTGTCTCTCCCTCTCTCTCTTTTCTTCACCACGGACGGCAGCACGCTCAGTCCTGACGCGGACGCTGACAGTTCGTTCCAGAGGGAGGGCTTTGGCCGGCAGAGTATGTCAGAAAAACGCATCAAACAGTATGAAAATGCTTCTCAGCTGGAGATTATCAAGACCCGCAAGTCGAAGAGCATGGATCTAGGTAAATGCTACGCTACAAAATGCATGTAACACATGAGTCAACGTTCAAAATTGACGCAAACATTCTTATTTCCTTTCTCACCAGTTTGGGTCAGGGTGTTATTATTCAACCACAGCACCAGCTTATTTAAATTCTTATTTGTTTTATATTCATTATTTAATTGGGTAAAAAGCCTCATTGATATTCTAATAGTGGCCTAAGAGCAACATGAGCGATTGTTACAACAATAAACACCAACAATACAAACACAGCAAACAAATGAACACGATAACCAGGAGTTTGTTACCTTTAGTGTCTCAAGTCCAGCCATCACCTGTCCTTGTTTGGCTTCCACGTCCCATGGCCTTTTGTCCAGCAGAGCATGGGTGAAAAAACACAAGAAACAAGAATGCCCTTTTTAGTGACTGTTTGGTGATGGGAAGGCTGGCGAGACACACAAACACACACACACACACATTCAAAGACACAGTCTGTATCTTGGGAGGAAAATGCTGTCTGAGCCTCTCCCACTGAGGCTGAAGCAGCCGCTGCCTTCTCTCGGATCACTGGCTAATCATAACAGATAACAACTACCTCTCTTCCACAAGGCGCCCAGAGACCTGTAGAAACCTTTGACTCTCCGCCAGACTCGTGTAGGGCCGGATCACTGCACTCCGTGAGGTCCACCTTTCCTGCATTAGCTAGAGCCTCTGTTTGCCATAAGAACGTCTCTACTTCTAAATGAAACCAGACAAAACAAACTTTTAGTGCTCTTTAGAGAAAGATGATAACTGGACATGGGATGGATTTCACTGAGAAATCAGTTGACCAAAAAAAGACTTTCCATTATGTTCTTAGTGTTGAAATATAATTGGGTATTACTGAGGACAGGAAGCGTGTAGAATGGGCAGGAAGCAGAGATCATTCCATGATAGTTTTCATTACTGCAAATGCACATTTTATCATCAAGTTTAATCAAAAAAGCTTCTTAATTGAGCCAAAGTGGCGTCAGCATTTATTTTAGAATTTGATTAGTTCGAGAAAACAGCGCTTGTATTTACAAAGGAGCCTCGTTTATTTGCTCATGAGGCAATACCTCGCTCCTGGGATAACCAGTGTTATTGACGTTTTACACATCTCTATTATTACCCCATTATTACCCACTTACATCTCAGATCTCCAGATTAAAGTCCAGGCAAATGTTCGCCACTGCTATACCAGTTAGGGTGAAGTTGCAGCCAAGCTGGAAATACTCAGGTGTTTGACTGCTTATGTATATATATATATATATATATATATATATATATATATATATATATATATAATATTAAATGACAAGGGAGACATTTTAAAAAGTTGATTTTCACTGGAGGGTCAATATAAATGATCACAGACAGACAAGTACAGGCCATAGGAATCCAGACAAAGGCTGCAGAAAAAAGGAAAATGACTCAGATGATTACAAATAAACAGTGAGTGGAGCAGACAGAATGTCCAGGGACATCTGGGTGGTGGACTGTGGTTGGTAAGTCCATGGATGAGGACAAAAATGAACAGTTTGACTGAGTCAAACTGAGAAAGTATGTCACAGGCTCTGCAGGCTGAGTTCAAAGTGAAATCTACAAATTATGGATTGTATTTAATGGTATATAAATGTTATTAATCTCATAGGCGCTGTAGTGTTATTTTAATGAAATTATTACATCAAAGCCACACAATGAGAAATGGCCTACAGATAATGTATGAAAGAGCTGAAAATTAAATGAGCTAAAGAACGTATTGCCAACTTTTACCCTTAAGCCTCATCTTTGCCTCAATGTTGGTCATTGAGAAGTTTGTCTTTAGAAGTTTTGTGAAGTAGAAGCGTCTCCCCTGCTTTTCATTAACACATTAATAAAGCTGTCCTTTCCTTTCAAAGCCAACCTCCCTAACTTGTTAACATGCTCAACAGTGCTATCCCCTACAGACTCATTTCATCCTGTCACTAGGTATTTTTGTCCCTCCTTCTAATCCAGTTCCAGGTGCTCCCAAATTACATCAGCAGATGGATTTCGTGACTCTGAAGCCCATCGTTGTCGAAATATGCTAAACTAGTCAGACATCCCTCGGTTCAATCTCATTTTGACGTGGGAACTAAACTGAGTGAGGGAAGAAAGAGACGTGAGGTGCTGCGGCTGACAGCAATAGGTTAGCACATTCCAGCCACTTTGCCTTGTAAGCCCTCATGATTGACAGGCTCATGCATGGAATGTAATATCTGCTCCACTTATATTCCTATTCTCAAAATGTTCTGTGTGTGCCTGCACTTTCTGATTCTGTCTGTGCTTTGCATGTGCTCAATGTCTTGGCGCTGAAGGCTCTAACCACTTTTGCTTGTTTATGCTCTTTAACAGTAGCAGATGAGATTAACTGCAGCACGAGAACCGGTGGAGGTAAGCAACCATGTAGGGACAAGCTTCATACACTTCCCCATCATTACGATGGACCAGTATGATGTTCAGCTAAGTCAATAATCGAGATAAAACAGTCCCGCTCTGTCTCCATAACCGGAACATAACCAACCATTATTGGCTGTGTGATTTTGGCACGTGTAGATGTATATGGAGGAGAAAGTTGTTTTGAGATAATTGCAGCATGATCAAAAGACGGTATTCGTATTGCTGGGAGGGATTGAGATGGCATTGAATAGAGACTTGGCAACTAATGTGGGAACCTGGGCCATTGTGCTCGTTCTGCAGTGCAAGTGATTGAAGAAAACATTCATTACTGCAGGAGGTGTGCGGGTCTGGAGGAAACCAGGCAGTGGAGTGGCATTTGCAAAAGAGAGACAACCATTGCCAGTTGGCCTCTTCAGCTCACTGCAATTGATCCATCATAGTCAGGCAGGTTTGAGCTTAGTTCTCAGCACATTAGAGGACATTCACTCTATTAATTTAACACAGAATGAGCTGTTGGCTGGGTCATGACGTGACATTTTTGAGTGATTTCCCCGAGAGCACTAATTTTCAAACTATCATAATTATCAACTGTTCTCTTCAGGGATATTTAAAGTCATATCTGTGCCTATATTTGATATGTCGTTACTTTCATGTAAACCTACAATAAAGACAAAATATTAAGAGACTGGTGAAGGCTGAACTCCACCAGAACAGAGCATTTTGGCACTTATTGCCAAACCTCTCAAATCTGCTTTTCTTTCGGAGACATCTCTGACGGCGTCTTCAACGTGAATGCATCACCTTTAAGAATACGCCCTCTTACTTTCTCACTTACTAACCCTACCACCTCTTTGACACCAAAATTAGCAGTAGTATATGTAGAAGTATATGCATGTGTTTTTAATGCAGGTAAAGCTGTGTACTCTTTTCCCACTGCCAGTATGTTCAATGTCACAAACGCACCAAACACTGAGGTGCTCTCTCACCTCACTGTCTCGCCAAATAAGCCAATTCACTGTGTCTACTGTGGAGTCATGACCAGGAGTTAATGACGACTATCAATTCTCATTGCAGACAAAAGCCAGAAGTTTGTGGGTTTTTTTGTCCAGACATGTCCCTGCTCTATTGTCTCATCAGACATTTTTTCACTAGTGGGCTGGCAGACAAAGTTCCAGAAAACACCTGGAGCACCTGACACTGACATTTGCGCTTCAGCCCCTCCAGGACATTTCGTTAAAATGACACAATATCAGTGCACGTCTCAACAGCTTGATAGGCCAGCAGTGTTAAACAAGAGACGGGCCCTTCAAGCTCACCCTACTGCAAATCTAGCTGCTGATCCAGTGCGTTGCCATTCTTGGCATGAGAGTTATCACCTCTGCATAACCATTGCTTGGCGAGTCAAGCCACTACACTTGGAGAGTGATAGCAAGTGTAAGTGTAAAAGTATTGGGTTGACAAAAGCACACAGCCATTGGACAGTGTCCAGCATGTACAATTAAGATATTAACCACAAGTCCGGGTTATGATGATTCCTTTGTGACACATGTTCAGCGTACGGAGGACGTCCTCTGTCAGGTTAATGATCCACAGCTGGCAGAGACATAGGAGCCCGGTTGACCCAGTGATGCCTCACTTCCAGTAGGATACCTGGACGTGGCCTTCCTTCGACCACCTTGGAGGCTATTTTTAACATAATTACCCTTTTACCGCCCTGCTTAAAGGCCTGACTCTCTGAATAAATTATGTGTAATGGAGCCCCTGTCTGTACACAGATCTTTACATGCAGGGGCCTGTGGTGAATAATGGCTGGGGAGCATAGTTTTAGCTGCTCTAATTATACTATGGGCTCCTGTCCCTGTAATAACTGCTGCTGATTTATTCATTGAGTTTGCCATACCTCCTCTCTAACGTTTAATGGCAATGGATCTTTTGCAATTAACTGTCCTTGCCCTTAATCTGGCTAAAGAACCCAGCGCGTTGGCAATTCCTGTCTTTGGCCATGGCAAAATTCCGCGTGCACTTCCCCCATATTTGGTTTAATTGTCTCTTTTTTGTATTTCATTATGATGATTTTCACTTCTCCTCCAGACATATGGGGAGAGACAAGCTCATGTCTGTATGCAGTGGGGGAATGTGTATTTTCATCCCTCTGAAAAAGAGGGAGATGAGGAGCACAGCACCGAGGCTTCTGTTGTGTGATAGGAATCGCATAATAGACTGGCATACAGAGAGCTGTCCGTCAAACTCTCCCAGGAGAGCCAGGGCTGCCTCTGATGAAAACAAAGGCAGGTTTGAGGCAGCCGGGGTCTGTGGGCAAACTCTCTCTCTTTGCTTCGCTCTGCCATTCTCTTTGTCTCTCTGCTTCTCTCAGTCATTCACCACGACGACTAGAAACAATGGCAAAGGGGGATCATGGTGCAGAATACCAAGCGGGAGAATAATTCCCTGTTTCCGAGTACAGCAGATGTCATTTGTGTTCCCTTGAACTGTTGCATCCTGTGCGCCTCTAACTTGCAATCCCATTGTGTCAAACATGTACCCTGGCTTCTGCGCGTCTGCTGTTGGCAGGATTAATGCATAAGCTTAAAAAAACCCAAATTTACATGGCATTTGTACTGGGTTGATCGAGTTTTATCCACAAAGTAAGAAAAATTACACCATTTTCCTCTGCGCCTATGTATCGTTGTAATATATTTTGTCTTTAGACTGTCCTCTCTTGTCCTTCACATGATGAGATTACTCCCTCTGAACAAATGAATTACATTATTTTTTACTTGCATTCTCTTGCTCTCGTAAGGCTTTTTATATTTCCCTGGCATTAAAATTTGTCAAAGTAATCAGAAATGGTCCACCTCCTCGGTGGAGCTAAGCAGTAAAATGAATCTTCTCCTCCTACAAACAGAAAACTTTTGACCCCCACAGACATTTGCAGTATACAGTTAAGTTTCATTTTGCTGTCTAATGCAGCCTCAAGGCACACACTTGTGCTCTTTCCACTTAATGGCATGCAATGTTATTGGATTGGTGTTCATTCATTTTGAATGGTGCTTTCAGGATTCAGTCCAGGCTCTCTGGGGATTGGACACTTGTATTAACATTGACAAAAAGGAAGAGAAAATGGTGTGTTAAATTAATAACAATACGTTAACCAGCCTGGGAACCCAACACCACTGACTAACAGCTGACCTTTTAGCCTATCTGACATCTCTGACTCTAGATCTATATATGACAGAGAAACAACCTCAGGCTACATCCATACTACTGCATTTTCAAACGATCTCTGTCCACACAAGCATTTTGACTCAGTTTTGACCCCAACCCATACTAACACACCTCATAATGCATATCACATGACCACTCATATACTCTGAGCATGTACACATTGTAGAAGAAAATAAAATGCTGCCCCTGAGTTTTGAAACGTAAACGGGTTCAACAGCTTTTACAAACGTTTCAATTTTACGCTGTAAATCTCCAGAGTAGTGTTGACTCCAGGCGTATCCGTATCAGTAACAATAAGGGTGCATTTGTCGGAAGAATCCTAAAAGTAGTGTGGATACTTTGTTTCTTTCCAAGGTAAGGACTGAATTGGGAAATTAATCAGAACTGCTTTTTCTTACACTTGTCCTCTGCAGGTAACAGTATGGATGGATGTTTGAATTAGCTGCTAATCATGAGCATGCTGCTGCAGGTTTGCTTGGTTAAGGGATCAAGAAGAAAACAGCAAAGGCGTTCAGCCAACAACAGAGACAAGCTGCCATCAGTAACATTAGGATAACAGTGGCAGCATGTATACATTTCTGTGCAGTGCTGCCAGTATACGCTCTTCCTTTTTTCTTAAGCTCTTCACTCATCATCCCCTGCTTTTGTAACCTTTGGGTATTCATGGCCTGTCTTCCTGTCTCAATCTCTCATGCACTGAAACTAACTCCATACTGCGGCACCAAATTGTTTTCTTTCAGTGATGGGGGTTTATTTTCTTTGCCTAATCTGTGTTTGGCCGTGCAGCCCCCCCGTCTGAACATCCACTGTGATCACCTAGCAGTGGTTGGTCATGCCTCATTTAGGCCACTTTAAACATGTCGAGGATCTTGTTGATGTTACTGTGTGCGTATGTCATGGGTTTGTGTTCTTGTTGAGAAGTCCCTGCATGGGGCAAAGTCATACAAACATATACAACCCATGTTTGCATGTGTGTGTTCTATTCAGCGGGGGTAAAGGCCTTAGAGCAACATTTGCTATTGAAAACCAACAGGAAGAGCTGTAGGAGACATTCATTTACACAACATGAAGCCACAGAGGAAACAGCAGCACACATTCATTACATGTGGAGGGTCTATGTGGTCTACAGGGAGTCGTAAAGAAACAATGCTACTCTGTTCAGACTTCATCGACATGCTACGTCCTCAGAGAGTCAGTGAGGCTGCTAAAGTAATTGAATCAAGGGCTTATCCGTTATTACAGATACTTTCCTGCGCAGAAGTTTGTATTCTAACAAGGCTTCACTTGCACTTATTCTGAAAACCATCTTGTCATGTCTGACAGCGCCGCGCGGCACGCTGAGTCGAGGTAGAATTAAGGGGACAGAAAATCAACCAGGCTGTTTGTTTACCAACTGGCAGGTAAGGTAAGAGCTCCGGGGAACTGACAGACGCTCCCTGACAAAATGAAATACCAATACCTGAGTTGCGCTCCACTGACATACCCTAAACAAACCCCTGGCAAGCATTGGGAAAATAATTACTGCTTTTCAGGGCCTGGCTGCAGAGCTGAAAAGGTTGACTGATGAACATTTGCTTTGCTTTCTACACAGTTGGCCTACCAGCTGGTGTATCAGCATTATGCTGGCCCTCTTCAAAATATACTCTGTCTCCATGACATGAAATGTAAGAGTTTCTCTAGTCGGCTCATTTACAAATATTTGATATAATAACAGATCAACAATTTACCAGTCAATTTCTTTTCTGAATGGTTATACTTCATTATATCATTTTTGTGTCTTAAACAGTGTATGCATCACTAGTCTGGTTTAAAAAGACATGACTGTCCATGAATCATATTCCAGTGCTCATACTAAGGTGTGTTGTGTGTTTCTCATATGATGACAACACAGTGGAAATGTTCCATGCTCTAGTTTGTTCTGGAGGTGACCTGTGTCAACAAATGTTTTTGTTGTTTTTGCTTATTAACACAAAACACAACACGGATCAGGATGTCATTTTTTTAATGGTACTTTTCTGGAATCCTCTTCACGCAGAGGCCTTTGAAAAAGAGCAAAAGATTACAGCTGTAAGATGTTTGTGCTAAGATGAGCCAGTGAATACAAAAGAATAGTGTTACAAATGAATGCACTTGGATTTGTTAAGTCTACGTGCATTCCCTGTTTCCTCCTCCTCTCTTAGAGAATGAGAAATCAGAGTAAGGACCACCCATGTGAACTTTGTCAGGTTCACTGTCTATATAAACATGTCTAAATATTCTAGAATAACACTTTAATCACTTTGATATATAAATGTGTATTTGAGATGTCATTTATATGCATTATGTTCCAGCCATACGATTTCCCTCTGGAAGACTCAAGAACAAAGGCTAAACTCTAAGTCTCACAGGAAAGTGTCTCAGTGAAGATGTAATACTCTGTTCTCATTTCACACACTTCATTGGCCAGGCAATGGCATCATTTGTTTTTCATGTTAATTGCCAGACTTTTCTCTTTTCCTGCCAAGTACGGCGCAAAACATCATCCCATACAAAACTAGCAAAACGTAAATGATTCATTGGCATGCAATGAGCTCTGTGATGATAGGATTCAGGCTGCCATTGTGGCAGAGTTGGAGTCACAAACCATTAGTCTGTCTGCCTCAGTGACACAATGTTCTCTTTCCATAGGCACTGCAGAACAAGAGGTCGGACCCGCACTGGGCCTGAAAAAGTCCAGCTCCCTCGAAAGTCTCCAGACGGCCGTGGCTGAGGCGTCGGTGAAGAGCGAGATCAACGTCAATAGGCCGCGCTCTCGGATCATCAGGGGCCGCGGCTGCAACGAGAGCTTCCGAGCTGCAATTGACAAATCATATGAGAATCCTGGTGTCCCAAGCACAGAAGAAGAGAACAGCATGGAGACATGTGAGTGTTTAGACACTGAGGTTACATTCACACTGGGACATTTTTATTTGAAAACACATCAACTCTGCCACGGATGCAGGGTTTTAGAGCAGATAAAACTGCGAAAGACTGGAAACGCACTGTTCAGTTTGAAACTGGGTGAGCCTCACTTTCCAGTCTAGAACACAACTAGCATAATCAATTACAAGCATTGAACCCTGATTTTCTTTGCTAACAACTAATTCCACATTTTACAATGACACAACTATTCACATGTATAGGAGACAAAGTATTATTTGGGCCTATAGATCCATCTATCTGCAGATTTGAGTGTAGCACCTTCCTATTTACAGTGACATGCATAAGTCCAGTGTATGTGAGTCGTAATGTGCTATGCATTTCCAGGCATTTTAGTTTGCATGGTGATTCATAATAATATAGATCCAAAACGAAAAAGAATAGTAGATAATTAGAAGTTTTCTTAATATAAACAAGCTCAATAATACTTCACCAGAATCTGTTGAGGATGGATTCACCCTTCTAGTAAACTAGGTTAGGGATCCCTACTTGCTGTAGGGTTGTGTGTGTCACAAAGCAAATTCACAATGAGCATCAATGTCACACACTCATTAATATTCACGCACTGTGGTTCATGTTTTGTGGAATTGTGAGAGAATGTGGCAAGATGTTTTCCCTGGAGTCTACATCCTCTTAGTGCATTGCCATGTTTTTCAACAGGGTGCATGCAAGGAAAAATTCCTTCTGCTCACTCGCATACATCTGGGCCCTACCATATCTATTTCACACGTAATGTGTATGTGTAGTTACGTTGACTATGATTGGAAATTAAATGAACTTGCATGTGTGTGCCAGTTAGTTTTGGTAAGTTATACCTCAGAACTTTGCATCATTTGTTTTCCTGCATTCCTTCACTGGGACTGAAACCCAAATTACCTTACTTTATCCCTCACTGTGAAAACTAGAAGAGAAGAAGCAGAAAACACATGCCACCCTCTGTTTGAGTGTTTATTTCCATTCCTACTTGGTGTTTGATGACAAAAAGACATGCATTGGATATTGAGAGACAGCCGTCTTATGTTTTGTGACAGGTAATAACACTGCAACACCACAAGAGTAATCACCAGATATAAATTTCCATTCACCATTAAAGGATTCCATTAAAAGAGCTGGGGGACATTTGAGAAAGAAAGAATTATTTGCCTGAAACGCTTTGTTCTCATAAGCTCTGTCGGCGTGCCACTAAATACAGTCTTATCTCTGCAAAGAAAAATGGGGAAAGCAGCCGATTTCCCTTGCCGCGGTATATTGCATTCTCCCTCATGATATTCAAATAACTCTGTTTTTCAATTTAGATAAAAGCAGCCAGTCTGCGCTCGTCACTGAGGTTAATAGTCAAAGTTGACAGATAAGCCTCTGCCTTCCTCTGCTCCCAGACTTTTATTTACATAAAATAAGAATGTGGCATCACCTAAAGAAAATGTGTCCCTAAAGATATCCTGCTGGGCCAAATGCACTTCCCCTTGTGCTGTGTTGTGTTGCATCGTTTGAGGAGACAGAAAAGGAAAAGCTGCCGCACGGGGGGAAAAAAAATCCCTTCTTTTGTATTTCACCTGTCCCCCATAACCTTTACTGGCCATCTTAAGCCCATGATTATTAAAGCAGGAAAGCTTCTCAAAGGTAACTAAATATTTCCTGCAGTTGTCTGTCTTTTTAGAATATCTTTGTCTCCTGTTGCTTTCGTAAATGCTCCCGCTGTCATTTGAAATTGTAAACCAAGTCATTCTTTTCTCAGTTCCATTAAATTGCTGCGGATGGCCTCACATTTGATGTCCGCTGATAAAGGCTTTTCTGGTTTTTTTTTAAAGAAGGTCGCTTCTTTTTCTGTCTCATTTTGTCTGAAAGAATTAAATGAAATGAAAAATGACAAATAATGCATCAAAGGATCAAAATAGAGTATTCCCTTTGCCCTCCTTTCTGACTCATTATAAGGCCTTTGTCAGCCCACGTGTTACATAGTCACAAACAAATGTATACACACATACGTAGAGATACACAAGCCCTCTGCCCTCTGGGTGGGTCTGGATTACAATGTTTAGTATGTTATCTGCAGATTGGCATCGTTCAGCGGGAGCAACATTAGCCCTCATTTACATAGCGAGACAAAGCTCACAGCTGCTATTCGCTGCCGTTGTTCTTAAGTGGATGATAAGCAGGCAGCAGATTGAGTGATAACACGGATCCTCATCCAGAACTTGCTCACAAATGTGTGGAGGTGGAGAGAGAACGGAGGGAGGGGCTACGTGCGGCGGTGAACTGCATAATTGAGCGGGTTTAAGCTGCAAGTTTCTCTTCTCTATTCCTGCGACACACTGCCTCATGTTGAGATTCCATTTCAGTAATTCCCTGTGAGATGGCAGCTGAAAGAAATAGCTGATAGCTCCACAGATCACAAGAGAAAACAAACCCCACTGTTCAGCCTTGAAATGTGAATCCAGCGGCTGCTCCTTCCCGTAGTCTGCCTCATCCTGTATGCTGAAAATCCATCACGGTCTCCCCTCCCTCTTCTTCCCTCACGATAAGCGTGTTTCTCTCCTCCATCAAAGGCAGAACTTTGACAACGACATGCAAGACTGTAATAAGTTGTAATCTGAAGGACATCTACCTCATGCCTCGGAGTCAGAGATACAGTGCAGACAGGAGCTATGACGATTGTGGAGCGCACCACATTTGCAATTAAGATCCCCAGGAGCCTTTTTCAAGATTATTTAAATGTATAATTACTGACAGATTAATTACATTTTGCACATCAGTTCTGATTAGATGTGATGGAAACTTTGAGTTTAATCAACCTTACATCTCCTAAGGATTTTAATCTCAATTTTATGTCTGGGTTGAAATGAGATGCAATTTAAGACATGTAAATTAAGAACCAGATTCATGCGAAGATCATCACAGCTTCCGTTATCATTTTTGTATGAACTGCAAGAGAAAGGGGGGAAAAGAAGTCTCTTGTGAGCTGTGTGAAAAGTACACACTTAAAATAACTTGAGGCTCAGCTAAGTGAAAATATGTTTAACGGAATACTATTCTCAAAGGGTGCGCAATGTAAATATATTCCGCTCTAATGAGACGGATGAATTCTGCTTGTTTTGTTCAAAGCTGCTATACCTTGTGGGAGACACCACTTCTTTGAATGGGTTATGTGATATTACAAGAGGAGAGAAGTGATTCTTTGTAACTGATAAAAAACAAAAGAGTGTTGTTGTGTGCTGAATTCAAACGAGTCTTCTGTGATCTATGGGGAGTCAACTGGAAGTTAAAGTTTCTGTCTGACTTCATTGACTTTCTATTTTTCTTTCTCTCCCTCTGTTTGTTGGTGCTATTCTCTTTCCCTTCCAATTTATTTATTCAACTCCCCCTCAACCCTCTTATTTCTTTCAATGCAGTGGACGAGGACACAGAGGGAAGTTCCCGCTCTGGTCGCGAGTCGATGTCCACTAGTGGTGACCTCATCGTGGGTTCCGGGTTGAACGGCGGCCAGTCCAAAGATGACAGAAGAAAAGATTGGGACACAGTAAGCGGGAAGGAGAAGAAGAAACCAGAGAGGGATAAAGAGGAGAAAGACAAGGACAAGATTAAAGCAAAGAAAGGGATGCTGAAGGGCCTGGGTGAGATGTTCAGGTAAGGACGAGACGGCGCTCGCCTCAAATTGCTAAACAAGTTGCCCCCGTCGTGCCTCGAGTGCCAACAGCTATCTCTCTATTTAATTCCACTCAACGCATTCGCAACTGGATCATACAGAATTTGAATGCATTCTCAGGATGTTGCCGATGCTAATCAGGGACCCTCTCCTTGAACCCTGTGAGACAGAGGGAGTGGACGGGGGGGAGGAGGGGGTTACTGACCTCAAGGGCCTCTGGCACTTTTAAACCAGATTATTTTTAATAGGAGCGACATGTTTTATTCATAAGCCCACATAAGCAGCACTGCTATCCAAACACGCTCAGCCATTTGTTAAGCATCAGACAGTGTATTGGGGCCCATATGGGTGCTAATCTGGCAGCGGTGACATGTTCTGGGGATAAAAAACCTTTGGAATAATAGACTCGACTGCAGGTTGGGATTTTCGCCTGTGATCGGTATTCTCAGCAGCTGTCTCATCGTGCTTTGGAAAATTGTAGAGGCTGACTACCTTCAGAGGCAAAGAGAGATTCCTCCAGAGTCTAATATTTATTACTTGGAAGTCATTTAATGTGAGACGCTTTCAGACCCGCACTGAAATTATTTTGGCTACTGTCCGAATGAGTCAGTGTGAGACATACGGAGGATTGACTGTGAGTGAATGTGCATGAATGTGACATTTCCATCACATGACAAATGCAAACCTGAAGAAAATGAATATCCTAAGATGAAATAAAGCTGTAATACACGTTAAAGACCCAACGACGATGTCAACTCAGAAAGATGAGATTCAAGCAGCACATCGATGTCTGTTATGATGTGATGTAAACAAAAACACATGATCTCAGCAGCAGAATTAAAACAGATACAACTCGTAACGTACAACTCTGACACATACATTCTCCAGAGTTCCTGTTCAAATCAGACACCTCTGCTGCTTAATGTTTGTTTGTTGTTTTCCACCCTGTTATATAAAACAACTGCCACAGAGCACTGCTGGGTAAAAACAGACCTTTACCCATTAGTAAGGAAGCTACATGGCTTTGGACCATACGCTGTTACAAAGACAATAGTAATAGAAACATGCAAAACGACTCAAGATAAAAATAAACATCCTGCGGGTATCCATTCAGTATCTCTGCCCCAAGGAAAATTAGTGGGAGTCACATTAATTATTTCAATGCCGTGCACATTTGAATATGGAATAAATTAATGGCAGAGGCAGTGCGGGCCGTTATCGTGCCGTAAGTTGTTTTCATGTGGATTAGTTTAATGGGATTAGTTAGCGTATCGCGGCGCACGGCTCGGTAATGAACAATAAAGACGACAAGTGTGTTTTGAGGTCACGATTGAGGAATGTGGGGAGGTTGCTTATCTTCTGTTATTTTCACTTGTATGTGTGTGTGTTTTAACTCCACTGTCTTTGCATCCTGTGGTGTAAATGCATAATGGCTGATACATGCTGTTGCACACCAGGTCACATATGTTCACAGGAGTGCACGCACAGCAATGTTCTGCATTCATGAACAACAGAGGTAAAACTGAGCCACAGGTTTGACACTCAGCAACATGCAAGCAGCACCTTTGGCAGACTTTTTGGAGGGGCTGTGTGCTCAGCGTCTGCTTGGTGATTTTAGCTGTGCACGTGGGCCATCTGCTTCATCATCGTTCTTCATTATCTTTGAGTGCCACTGCCACTTAAGAGTTGGCATGTGGCAGGCCTCGCTGACGCTCACCTCCTTCGCCGTGCATTTACCACCAGGACCTGTGCCTCCTGAATGCAAAGAGGCAGCCTCCTGTACCGGGGGCGTCTCTCCGACTCTCAAGCTTCGGCTCTCCTTTTCTCTCTTGCTCATTCTCCTTGTTGATACTTCAAACAATTTTCTACATAAAACTATGACAGCTCTCACGCCCACACATCCACTGTGTCTTCCTCTCTTCTCTCTCCGTTCCCTGGCAAATAACTGAGGTGAGAGTGTCACACTGGATAAAATATAAATATAATAATATCAAACTTTTTTTAAAGAACAAATTGGAGTGATGTGAAGTGCTTAGCGGACAAAATGGAGGAGAAGGAAAGTAAGTGAAAGATCTGTTGTGTGCCTCACATTTAGAAATTCTTGCAGAAGTTGTGATACTGATTTTGGAAAAGCACAAGGTTTCCTGCTCATGACAAAGAGTTTGGCTGACAGTGACTGAACACACAACTGATAGAATTTACATTAAAGCAAGTTTCACCTGTCGAAACATCAAAAGGATGTGCTGATTGGGTTAATCATTTGTAATGCTTGTCTCCGAGTTTTTAATTTGCATAAAATGGAAAGGAAAGCACTCACTTTTTCCTGCATTTCTCACACGTGTCTTAACACTCACCTTCTCCCTCTGAGGAGATTTCAAAGAGTTTGCAGCGGGCTGCAATTTGAGCTCATTTGCATGCAGGCCTTTGGATGGCCTGATGAACGTGTAGTGCACGTCCGCTTAATGGACAGTCTGATTGGGAGTGCATTAACATCAGAGCCAGGGGAAAGGAGGATGGCCTAATATGGAGAGTGAGGATAGATGGAGAGAGTGAGATAAATACTGTGAGTGCAAGAATGACTGAAAGTGTGCAAGTGCATGATGGAAAGAAAATTGACTGCCTAAAGCCCAGAGCTAAAGACACTGCAGTGTACAAGCCTGGCCTCACTGCTTCTCTGGATTCATAGTGCACTGTCTCTAGGATGGCAGGCAGCCTGGTACACAGTCCTGTAACATCCACTAATGGATTACGTATAATCCTATGAATGGATAGCAATGTGCATGCATCCATAGGATAAAAAGTTTGCCCTCGGCAATTGCCTGTTATTATTTCAGGGATGTATGTTACACGGATGTATTAGTGTGTGTCCATCTCGGCCTTCACAGGGATATTATCCTCTGAACCACTGTATGTGATTATTCATCTCCTTTCTAGTGGAAAACATGTGATCATTACTTTCTGATTCTATCAGTTTTATTTAGAGGTTGGGAGTCTTGCCCAGGGCTCTGTTAGCATGCTAGCAGACAATGACGTCTCAGCCGCAGCCTGCGAGACTCCCTTCAACATGCCTAATGAGGTGTTGTTTATCTGCTGTGTGACTGACTGACCTCCTCCATCAATGACCATCTCCCATCTCTAGAATTGTTCATGTGTGTGTAAGCACATACAAATTACACACTCCAGGTCATGTATTTAATGTCTAGATTCCAATTGTTAAAACAATGTGAACATTAATATAATAATGAGTTAAATAGGCTCATTAGATCTCTGTCTTCAGAATGCTGATGTACAGTGTGTGTGTGTTTGCATGTTCATATGATGTACAGTGGTTGTGTGTTTGCATGTTCATATTTCTATGTCTAAATGATTTTTATGTGTGTATAAATGTGTATTTGACAAGAATGAGGAAAATGCATTATACAGGAAAAGCAAACAGAAGCATGTAGAAAATACAATCGTGTAAAAGCTGCAAAAAATGCAAAGGATGGTTGGGACAGGGAACGGGGGGCCCAATAGGAGGAGGGGTGGATTGGGTGAGAAGCCGTGTGCAGTGGAGTGAACTGGGGCACCAAGGGAGAGTGGGAAAGGAGGATGCAAAGGGAAGGGAGCTTTTCACAGCGGCAGTCACGGCATCGTGCTACTGTCCGCCTGGAGGGGGACTGAGGATCTCTGCTGATTTTCTTTTACAGTTTTTTACCTTTTGGGTGCGTGTGTTAGCGTGAGCAGATTCAAGGAGCATGTAAATGAGCACATGCGTGAGTGTGTAATGCATAGTTGCGTGCACATGTATAAATAAAACGAGTTGTGTTTTTTAGATCTGTTAATGAGCTCCGGCATCTCACCCTCGCTCCTCAGTGGTCCTCTCACACACACACACTCTTCTCCCACCACCCTCCTACTCCCACCCTCGCCACCAATCTGATAAGTGGCATGCCTCACGCCGAGCCATCAACCGACACTGGAGCTCGGTGTGACAGCCTTGCAACCCCCACCCTCCACCCTTCCAACCCTACATCACTGCTCTGGGACCTCATCTGCCTGCTCCTCCCTGCGGATGCAGCCCCACTCAAGGCTACACGGAGCGATGCAAGGGGGGGGGACTGGAGAGGAAAGCGGTGAAAGATGAAGTGTGGGGAAGCTTTCTATCTTTCAATCTATATTATTCTTGGGCAGTGTGGAAGCATGCTAGTAGCACTTGTGTGTATTTGTTTGCATGGATGCATGACTGTGCCTTGGAAAATGGATACCGCACCATGAATGCTCATCTGCCTGTAGCACGAGAGGTAGTGAGCGTGTTGCCATGCCGCTCCGTGTCTTCATGCCATCTGATTCTTTCTGCTCGTGTGGGTGTGAACAGCTGATGGCGGGTAAGCCGGTTTGATCATTAGTACACCAACATGACACATGTATTAGCCTGACTTTTTATACACACACAGAGCCAGGAGCGTGCCGCCTGATGGATCAACATACACCGTTCCTCCATATAATACACCCCTCGCCCGCTCCACCTCCTCCAACACACCCTCACATATGCTTGCAGCATTATACCACGTTTGATTTGGAGACAGCAATTAGCCGCCTCCACATGTGGGCTCTGACATCTGCTGAATGTAATCTGAGAGAAAATGATAATTGTTCTTCCTTTGCGCTGCCTCACTCATCATCATGTCTGTGCTGAGGTAGTAAAGGCAAACGTGGGGCACGGCGTCAAGCTGCAGCCTGTACGCGAGAATGACTGGCAGCTGAGGTGATGTGAAGAATCGCAGTAATGAGATAATTACATTAAAAAAGAATAATGGAACGCATCATGGACGTTGGAATGTGGAATGAAAAAATACCTCAGCTCCAGAAACAGCTTTTTCTCGCCTTCATATCGAAGAGCAGTCGCTGTTTTTAACCACCTGTGAACAACAGAGGAGCTTCCTGTCCGCTTTAGGGTCACTTATGTGCCACCGACCATTTGACATCAAGGTGGAGAAGG